CTATCAACACCAGAAAATATTATAGCTTTATTTCGTAAGACAATATCTGATTACATTGATCAAAAACCAAGAAGTCGTTCAAATACAAACAGTATCAATGATACAATAAATTCAAATATAAAATCAAATAATAAATGTTCATCAAATATATATTCATTAGTACGAAATAATCGTATTAATCCTAAATGTCAACTTGATGATGAACAACATTGTATTGCTGAACTTGCAGAAATTTCAATAACATCATCATCTAATGAAGGAACAGAAAACAATCATCATCGTTCATTTGCTCATACATAAATGTACATATATATTTATACATAATATTTTGCTAATTAAATAAACTATCAAAATTCAGAATAAGATCAAATATAAAATTTTAGTCAAGCTAAGAAAAACAAAAGAGATCGATATCGTTTTTTTCTCAGAATGTAATTTTTGTTTGAAATATCAATTTAATAAAACTATATACAATCAGTTTTTATTGGCGAAAATACGAAAATTATAATAAATTATTCTTTATTCTTAATCGAACATTCTAAGTTTTATATAAAGACATTCTTTTGTTTTTGTCTATTTCGTTTTTAAAGATATAATATCTTTTAGAAATTTTCTCATTCATGAGTAATATAGACTAAATCGATAAGAATCTAACGAATGGTACCGCTTAAACGAGATAGTATCATTTTGTATTTTTGCTCTACAAAACTGTTCCGCTTATTTTTCGAATAAGTTTTTCTTTTTTAAAGAAATTTTTTTTTTAAAAGTTTTATCTAACAGAACTACGTGATAGTTTATATTTCGACACAATCTAATCATTTATACTCTTCAACTGAGCAGTTACAACATTTTATTCAGAATTAAATTCTACATCTAACAGCACAAGAGAATGATTGTTTCATATACTAAGTCCCGCTTTGGAAAACATGTTTCCTCAGACATGTGTAGAAAAAATATCAGTAGGTTTTAGTTCTAAGCTTTTTTCTTCATGAATGATAGCGTTACGAGTTTTGAAATGGCTGTAGCAGAGAAGAGCACAAAATTCTCTATTTATTGATGCTAACTCCGTTACTTTTTAGATTGATCTTTGTGAGTAAATTGCAGTTAGATGATTGAACACGTGTTCATATTTTAAATTTTGCTCCAACAAGAAAAGTTTATTTGAAAAACAAACAAAATAGTTTTTGTAGAACAAAAAATTCTTTATCGAATGACTTTCTGAAAATGTATCATAATTATCCACAAAGGAACATGGTATTATTCAATTAAATTTGCACTACTCGTTATTTGACGGTAATAGCCATCCGATGATCTGTCCTCCCACACAACATCATTTGTAAAATGCATTCTTTTTTTTCAATTGTAAAAATAAAAAAACAAAAATTTATTCTTGCAGTACGTTTAACTTATTAAGTAAAAAAAAAGCAAATATTCTAATTGGTATACGATTTTCTTAAGAATATCTATTTTCGAGCAAAATTTTTTAAAATAACAATTATCAAAAATTAATAAAGAACTTTATGAGACTTCGTGACTTATTTTGGACCAGGAAACCATATGTGCGGTCTTATACAGCAATTTGTGACACATCGAATGGTACATAAGAAATCAAGTTTTTCTCAAATTTTCATGTACTGAGGGTACACACATACTAGTTATAATCCTTGAGAAGTATATATTGTACTCATATACATTCTGTTCTCTAAGATAAACTTATGCAAGTTTTGTTTCTAAACTCATTTCTATAGAGTTGTAGGCTTTCTTCAATTTTCTATAATCAATAGTTTTCATCATTAATTTCTTCATATTTAAAAATGCTCCTTTTTCTTAGATCTAGGCCATTTCTTGACTATATGATATTCCAGTATGTTCACCTCTGACCTACAGAACAAGTGAGTACCAACGTGGAACTTTCTTAAACATTGTACACGATCGAGCTTTATATGTTTCACAGATAACATCTTTTGGAACAGTAGAGACTTATTGTCAACTTGCAAGATTGTTCTTTAGAATAGTCTATTTTACTATATACAGGAGTCGGCACATTGACCTTATTTTAACAATACTTGATGATCTTATTAAACATTTTTATGTACCAATAATTAGCACAACATCCCTGATGTGCTGATATGAATAACTCCTTTATAAATGGAAAAAAAATTTTAAGCTGTCGGACTTCTGAAGGAAGCTGTACGGGAATATGGTTGCTAGAAGGAGGTCTATTATTATTAGCATTTCTTTTTTCAAATTTTTATTTAGAGTATTCAAGTTTGATCTATGCATGAAACTCTCTAGAAGAATCTATAAATATCTTATGTTCATTTCAAAAATAAATTTTTTCATATCATCGTATCTCCTCCGGAGATCCGGAGTTCAAAAAATATTTTCCATTTCAAAAGGAGTTATTTATATCAGCTCATCAAGGATGCTGTGCTGATAATTGATACATAAAAATGTTTAATAGGAGCATCGAATATTGCTAAAATAAGGTTAATATAGCCACCCCTTCCTATAGAAAAATAAACTATTCTAAGGGACAAACTTTCAAGTTGACAATGTGCCTCTGCTGTTCCAAAAGATGTTATCTGTGAAACATATAAAGCTCGATAGTATACAGTGTTTGAGAAAGTTTCACGTTGATACTCACTTGTTCTGTAGGTCAGAGGTAAACACACTGGAATATCATATAGTCAAGAAATGACCTAGATCTAAGAAAAGGCACTATTTTTAAGTATGAAGAAATTAATGATGAAAACTATTGATTATAGAAAATTGAAGAGCATCTATAACTATATCGAAATGAGTTTAAAAACAAACTTTGCATAAATTTATCTTAAAGATCAAAATGTCATTGAGTACAATATACGTTCCTCAAGGGTTTTAACAAGTATATGAACTTTTAGCACATGAAAACTTGATTTCTTATATGCCAGCCGATATGCCACAAATTGCTCTAGAAAATTGCATATACGGTATCCTGATTGAAGACAAGTCACGAAATCTGGCAGAGTCCTTTGGGTTTTTCATGTATAAATTAAGAATAATTATTTGTATTCAATAATATTTTCTTTTTCCTCAAAAACAAACAATTTTATTTAATAAATCCATTTTATACGGCATTAGTATGAACGCCTTCAACTTGATCTAGATCTTCGAACACAGTTATAATTTGTTTTAATAATGCTTTATCGCGTTCATTTAATGGTACAGTCACTTTTGGAATAAATTCTGAACCATCAGATGTTACATTATAACCACGTTGAGTTAAATTAACTTTCATTTGACCGTAAAATAATGGTGGACCAAAAAACTAAAATTTTTTTTTTGTAATAAAAAATTTAGATATTTTTAAATCAAAAAATAAAAAGATAAAACTTACTTTCCACACTGTTCGTTCACCGTCATCATCAATTGCTTCAACAACTTCTTCAGCATTAATTTCAATTGCTAATTCGGTTGCTTTTTCTTCAGTTATATTTGATTTTTCAATACATGCATAACCACGTTGATCAAAATATTCAGCAATTTGTCCGCTTTTAGCTATTTCTGGAATACTTTTAATAAAATGATCATAGTTTATGTATGTAATTATTTAATCAAAAAAAACAAGATTACCCAATTTTAGCTGCATTTTTATTAAGATAATTGAAAGTACGTTTTGGATTATCAGTCATAACTTCAATAAGACAAAGTGCTCGACCAGGGCCAATAAACTCAAAGAGAGTTTGTTTTGAATTATCTTTTTGAGCAACCTACAAATAAAAATTTATTTATTTATTTTTCTAATTAATCAATTCAATTTGAAAGAAAACCGAAATCTTACAGCTCGTTTAATAGCTCGATCAATTGTTTCTTTAGGCATATTATTTCTACGACATTCTTCAAGTGTTGCACGTAATACAGCATTATATTGTGGATCTGTAACATTACCATTTTCTAAAATAAAAATACAGTAAAACCTCTATATGTGAATACCCCTCCTTAATGAACACCTTCTTATTATGAACGCTTTTTACTGGTCCCGAAGGTGTTCAGATCGGAGAGGTTATACTGTAGTCTGAATGTACATTTTATTAGGTCAAAAATCTAAGATTAATTTTTTTCGCAACGTATGAATTACGCTCGATATGGAAAGATGTAGTTTATCGATGATATATATTTTTTCTTTATTCTTAATAAGAAACTTTTCTCATGTCGTATTAAAAATTCATTCGCTTTTTTTCTTTAAACTTCATAAGATATTCTAAGATTTCAATACATACGTCGAACAGCTGTAACAATTTTACTAGATAATTTTCCTATAACACGTCCTTTGATTTGATCATTAGCAGCTTTTGTCTTTGCAATATTTTGCCAATGAGCATGACCAGCATATCGTCGAGCATCACCTATATATAATGAAATATAATTTTTTGTATTGATAAAACATACTTTGTTATATGTTTTTTTTTGACATACAGTTAATAGATTCTATAGATAATAAAGATCTTGTTGTAAAATAACTCAATTTTGATGTCAACGAACAATATCGAACTAGATTAGTGACACTCATTATGATCAAATATCTGAAAGATTGAATAAATAATTCTTAATATATTGCGGGGAAGAGATAAAGAAAACTTTTAAACACATCGAATTTTTGGTTAGAATAGGCAATATAACAACAAACAAAAATAACGAACAACAGAGAAAAATCAAGGAGCAACTAAAATTGTGAGAAAAAAAAGATCATACAAAAAAAAAAATTTATATGCGAGTGCACATTGAGAAGAAGTAGAGAAAATCTGAGGCAATAAATAAATCAGATCCAACGTGTCCGGTTTAATTTTTTTTTCTTATTATGGAATGAAAAAAAGTACTATCAAACACAGACAACGACTATGACACATGCATAAGCCACAACTATATTTATATTTAGATATAGATAAATAAAGGAAATGAAATTAAAAGTCAAATATCATTTGTAATTTATTTGAATTAGAATAATTTCATATGAAAATTTATTTTCCACTTGTTTGTTGTTGTTGTTTTAATTGAAGTAAAATACTTCTATAACGTGTTAAATCTTTTTGTGAACGATTATTTTTTGGATTAAATTCACATAAACTTGTTATTTTATCCCAATCATTAAATTTTCCATTTGATGTTTTTAATGAATTATCATCATTATTAAATATATCATCTTCTAATGTACGATTATTTAAACGATTTTGTCCTTTAATACGTTCCATTTGTTCAATACGTTGTTTATAAAAATCATCTAATTCTTTTTTTGCTTGTTCACGCATTTCTTTACATTTTGTTTCTTCTTCAACATCTTTTTTATTAATACGTGTAGAAAATTCTTCTTTCCATTTTTGAATTTTTTCCGGTTCATTCAATTGTGATAATGCTTCATATTGTGATACATTTGTATCTGATGACATTTCTGAATTATGACTACCTATATTTATACTTGATGAATGTTCACCTAGAAAAACGAAATTTAATTAATTATAATGATAGTCAAAAAAAAACGAAGAAAAATTTCTGATAGATACCGTTTGTTAAATGATTAGCATTTGTATTAAATGGACTGTCAAATGAATTCATATCATCATTACCTGTTATATCACCTAATTCTTGTTTTTCTCGTTGAAGAAATTCAGCAGCTGGATCTTCATCATTGAAATTATAAAAATTATTTGTTACATTACCATCAGTAACTACATTATTAGTATTAAATGGATCATCGAACGACATAAGTTTTACTTTGATAAATGAATCAGAGAAAAAAAAACCAAGTAAAAATGATTAGATTTGAAATCGAGTAATATGAAGAATAAGATAATAGTTTAGATTAATTGATTGTTCTCTTTTGTTCTACTCGACAATGTTTGATTCTATTATTTACTGGTTTTTTTTTGTTTATTTTATCATTTACTTGATAAACAGTTCATTAAAATATTCTCCAATAGAATTTGATTTATTTTAGATGTCACTAGTAATTTGTTATTTTATTTTGTTTTATTTTATTTTTTTGTTTAAAACAGTATTCACAATGACAGACAGGTGTATGAATTAGAAATAAAATTTACAGAATATCTATTATTTACAAGAAACAAGTTGTTTCATAATTTGGTGAATAAAATAAAAAATTTTGTTTCTAAAATGGAAATAGAAAATATACTTAGGTCGACAAATACTGTGTGCGTATACGTCTGTAAACGACCGTGCTTGTTTGACCTGAATATTTAAACAGACTGTATACCATCATAATACTTCATGCAGAAATATGGCCGTATCGTAGTGAGATGATAGCACATATGCGACCGTATACAGTGCCGTATTACTATGTCCAGGATTACGAGACAATACAGTTAGTTTACTGCCATAATATTGTCGTTTACTGACGAAAAAATGGACCGCAAAATGGTATTCGTTTCGATTGACCTGGATAGTTTCTTCTATTATATTAGAATATTTTACCCTTTTTTTTTCTTCTATCCTCGAATTTCTCATTGATTTTATCAAAAGAAAAAATATGTTTTTCGCATGAGGGAGAAAAAGCAAAAATTTCGAACGTCATTCATATCAGGGACTTGCAAAATCACTTCTTTTTGTTCCCAGTCTCGGTCCTGATTAAAGTTTTGTGTTGGCTGTAACTTCGATTCCTTAGATCCTGTTTCGTTTCTAAAACGAAGTAATTATTTCTGTAACATGTATTATATTCTTCAAATAATTATATAGAAGCCGAATGAATGATTTAAACTCACCGATAGTACTAGGATTCCTTTATATGCATAGATCAAAACAAAGGATAGAGAAAACTTTTATTGTCCCATTCAGGTTTTTCTTATTGCTAGGTATCGGAAAATCTTGATTCTTAGAATCAAAGCCGGAATCGTTTGAAGACATTTTTTTTTCGTAAATAAAAAGAATCAATTTAGTTATTTCTAATCAAAATAGAATAATAAAGATAACAATGTGTAGTTTAATTCTTGATAGAAATAATGTACTGGCACCATATCGCAACGATATGGGCCCTACTTCCGATCCTGGTAAAAATCAAAACTTTAGTTCTAGTCCTACCTTGCAAATGCCTAGTGCACTGCTATTTTGACTCATTCATGCACCATCCAATAGAGTATATTGAGATAAGAAAAAGTCTCAAAGGATTTGAGTTCATGGCGTAGTGGCGAGAAGTTAAGATCGTTTTTCTGGAACTTTTACTTGAAGAAAAGCACTATGAAAACGTCAAAATGAAGAGTTTTAACCTGAAATTTTGTCGACAGATAGATGTGATAGTTATTGGGTATTCCTAGAAGTCTCAATAAAAATGAACATGTCTTTCTCGAGATAATTAATTTCCAAGTAGAATAGATCTTTATGTTCTCCTAATGTAAACGGCTGTTTTGTTTTAAATTAAATATCTCGAGAAAGACACGTTCGTTCTCGTTGAAACTTTCGGGAATATCTCATAACTATTAAGTCTATCTATAGACAAAATTTCAAGTTAAAATTTTTCATTTTGCTTTTTGGGAATGTCTGACTCTCAGTAAAAATTTCAGTAAAAACAGTCATAACTCTTCGTCAGTACGTTGTAGACTCGAAAGCTTTTAAGTTTTTTCTTATCTCAAAATATTCTATCGAATGATGTATCAATGAATCAAGATAGAATTGCACATCTCGAGTATTTCTCTTCTTAGTGTAAGATATGACTGATATGATTGTTTTTATTCGAGAGATTATTCATGTTTAACAAAAATTGATATTAATAGCATTTGTTTTAAAAAAAATGAAGAAAATAATACGATGCTATTTCCTTCATACATTTTAGTTACACTAAATATATATAGGACGAAATGTTCAGGTATACAGTTTAGTTGTCCTATTATTTAAATGAATGGTCATTAATAGTAAGGTTGTCTTGGTCAATATCCAGGATATTGACCAGGATGATAACTTGGATATCCACGACAGTTTCGATGATGGCCACCAGAAGGATAAACTGGGCCAGGAGAGTTCGAAATAATAACTGGAGAAACTGGATACGGTTGTGGACGACGACCACTTCCTCGGTTACCCATTTATGCGTTTCGTATGTAGAAGGGTGGATATTGTGTTTACTGGTAGAGAAAAAAAACCTATAAAATGTAATAGTTTTTATATGTGAGAAGAAAAAGATGACATATTGCCTACACACACACCACATAGTTATCAATTAGTAATAGCATACGTTTCGATTTGCATGAATGAATTCAGATATTTATATAGAAGATTAGTCATAATATTTTTATAGTTATTATGAAAGTATTTGAATATCAATTATACACTGTAATTATTTCCATGATATCATTCACATAAATGACTAACTTTTATTTTCATGCAAACAATTTTTAAGTGTTAAATAACTTAGTTTTTATGATTAATTGTACGATCATCTTATCTCTTCATTTTTTTTTTTGGACGAATCTATGCCAAGACAGTCCTTCTAGCAGATTTATTATCATTTTTAGAACACAGGATTCGAATTCAATTCAATGAATATGATCTCCATCCTTTATCATCGCTGATCGTCTAAAAACATGACTGTCTCAATTGGCTAATCAAAACTACAAACACAATATATATGTTTTGAGCAGAGGTACAGAATCTACCCGCGTGCGTGAGCGACTGTTCGAGGAAATTTTTAAAAAAATTATCAGTATCCTATAACACATGTCGTATATTTATTTTCTATCTTTGAAGACTTTAGCATCTGTTCAAATTTTTTGTTCTGATCTTGCTGAATAGAGAATTTAATCCTCTGCAAAACTGTCGATTTGTTTTTTGGAGAGATTTTTCATGCAGATATAAACTTTATAAGATAAAAATCTATCGAATTGTCAAATTGAAAATTCTTATTTTACTACGGATAAAAAACTATTTGTGTGAGTGTATGTTCATCAAGACCGATGTTAACAGCTAAGGATTGTACATCAAAAGATAGAAAATTTTTAGCTCCATATGTTCACAACTTTAGCATGATTCTGAATTTTTTGTTCAGGAGAAAACAAGTTGCGAGCTAACATCTAAAGATATCTTTTGAGTGCATTATGAAAAATTATTAAATCACAAGTCAGATACGTCCTACAAAATGTCGATTTTCATACCGTTAGATGTACAATTAGATTTTGAACTAAATGGTGCATTAGTTCACTTAAACAATTGAAATATTTACGTTACTTTGAATCAATTGAAAACAACAGCACAGATTTGTCCATAACCAACTTTTCGATAATTTGACATTTTCTATTCCAAATCTTTTCTTCCAAATATTTGTTCTAACACTTTGAAAGTCATGTTGAAAAATACAAAGTTTTATGTAGAATATTGTAGTGTATGTCAAATGTCAGCAGATCCGGTTCTAAAAAATCTCAACAATTTTTTGCGCTATTTGATTTTGGCACTTGTACGATTGAATAGCTGTTAATCTCGGTAACTACGCTCTGGCACAAAAAAATCTATTCGAAAGACAAAGTCAACAGTTTTGTAGAAAACTAAATTTTCTATCTACTAGCATAAAAACTAAAGTTCAAAATAATTATTCAATGCTTCGAAGATAGAAAGTAAAATTGAATTATTTATTATGGTGCATCCTTTTTTGTTTTTCCGTCTTAGAAGAATATTTTACAATTTTCCAGAAAAATCTATAATTGAATTTTTATGGTGAGGGAAATTTTTTATTTTAGTCGCAGATTGTCTACCTCTGGTTTTGAATTCTATAAATAACTCGAGAATGCACTATTAGACATTTTGAAAAGTAAAGCAAGTTTTTTTCTTCAATACTCAATGAAGATCGAACAATAAATATCGCCTATCAAATGTGTATTTTATTAATCATATAGAATAAATGTTTATTTCAATGATCATTGAAAGAAGCTTCTAAAGTATCTACTCATTAATCTATCGTATAACTGATCATTAAACAAAAATTGTTTCTCGAGATATTTAGTTATTTATTTTTATCTATATGAATCTTTGTTATCATTCATTGTTTCTTGTCTTATAGGACTAGCACAATCAATCAATAGATATTTCTTTTTTCTAATTTTACTGTATTCATTTTTTTTGATATAAAAGGAATTGTCAACACATAAATTGATTGTCAAAATCATCTAAGTAGCAACAGATTATTTTCTTTTATTTTGTGTATATCTCAAAAACTAGATGAAGCTACGATTGTCTGGTTTTTATCAGATTACTGTCCATAGTCCCTAGTACACTAGTGAGAAGATTCTAAGTATTTTTCATTAATTTGTTTAACTTTTATTGACAATACAATCATAACATGTTTCTCATCCTTCCAAAATTATTCAACTATTTTATTTTTGTAAATATATGCGCTCCTGTTCTCAATTGAAATTTTCTTTATTACTTAGGGCATGCCAAAAGTTCTGACCACGGCATTTAAAGAATATTTTCGGATAAGAGGATCTATTGAGAAATGAAAAACCAAATATACCATGTTGTAGAGCTTTTTGAAGCGTATTGAATGGTATATAGTAAATCTTGTTTTCATAGGACTTTGAAGGACCTAGAATCAATTTACTGATAAACGACTACACACCCACACTCACATCCGCCCATACTCATACTGACAAGATGATCAGAGATGCTACATATAGGAGGTTGTAGCCCGCCAAAACCTCTACAAAATCGTATATGAGAAAAAAGATTTCACAAATACTTTCAATTAACACCAAGAACTACAATATTCAGAAACTTATCATGCTTGGGTGTGAATGTGTATTCATCTATCAGTAAATTGACCCTAGTCCCTTTAAAACTTTATGAAAACAGGATTTACTATATACCATTCGATGCGCCTCAAAAAGCTCTACAACATGGTATATTTGGTTTTTCATTTCTTAATAGGTCCCCTTATCCGAAAATATCCTTTAAACGCTGTGGCCAGAACTTTTGGTATGCCCTAAGTAAATATGATTCAATAGACGAAATTGTGCTTTACATAACAGATACTTTTTATCATAGCTTTCGTTTGACTATGGATGATAATGACATTGCTTTTCTGACCTATATCGAAAATTTTGAAGAATTCAACAAAAGACTTTTTTTATATGATATTTTGTCAATTTATTGTTGGATATAGTATTAATAAGAACACTACGAATTACATGTACTATTCTATTTGAATCAATAATTTCATGTTGGAAAATTGTGTTGTTCGTCTTCTATCTATAGACTAATCACAAATAGACCTTCTTGCATGGTCTCATTCACTCATTGAAGAATGTAAAAAATGTTTGTTTTTTTAAAGTGTGGATTTTTAAGGAACCATTATCTGTATGATGTTCTTATATTTGAAATCAAAACTGATTATATCACTGAACTTGAATAACCTTGTCAAGTTATAAATAGCCAGAGTTAAAGCTTTCCGTACTCACAACAACAGACTGAATATGCATCTCACGAAACAAAGATCTATGAAATAAAAATTAACATAGGGCGTTGTTCTAAATTTGATCGTCTATTTACATAGACATGTCGCGCAAAATTTATGTATGTATTTCATAAGATCTGCACTAAGATTGTTACTAAGACTAAGGAAAGCTGTTTAATTTTGTTATTTATAAGTTATCAAAGATAAATGACTTAATTGATGTAATCGGTTGTGATTTCTAATATAAGAGTTTTGTAGACATAGAAAAATTCTCTACAAGATTCACGCTTTCAACAATAAATTTTTTCGGAAGAGCAACAAGAATATTACTGTGCGAAGTAAAGAAAGATAACATTGATTAACATGATATTGCGATGTATTCAGACGTATTTTTAGCCTATAAGATCATTGAAAGTTGATACAAAGAGAATAAGGCATATGTCCAAATAAATTACGTTGTTCTAAAATGAACATAGAGTTTTCAAGAAGATAATGTACAATAGTACGAAGTTATATGGCTCAATGAAGTAATAATTCAATATTTGGTGTATTTATCTCGTCTATAATTGTTAAGGAATGAATCTGAAAGAAAAAAGGTCTTATAAATAAAATATGTTTATTCAAATAACATTACTTTTTCATTTAAACGATTAATACATACAGATGATGATCATGTCGATTTTTTATTTGTTTCCATAAACAGTTTAATGGTTTAATTAGTGCTTGATTAAGTACATCGGCGGTGAAACGTATAAGCTGAGCAAGGCCTGAGCCTCACCCAAAATTGATTCTACTAGGATCAGCTTCACCTAGAATTGGCATTAATAAACACGACATCACCCAAATTTGTCACTGTTATGCTCAGCATCAATCGAATTATGAATTTAAGACTTGATCGCACGCAAGCTTAACTTTACTTGATAAAGTAAACCTTATTTTAGTGCGGGGATGGAAAGCTCTAATACATTTATTTATATGTTGTGATGAAGAAAACTAAAAAACTCAGACAACAGTAAACTCACTAAATTGGCCGTTATGATTCATAGCAACACGTTCTATCTTATCTATATAAAGTGATACGTGAACTAAACAAATCGTAGAATTATGTGATCGACAGGTATCAAAACTAACTATTACATTGGCGCATAAGTTCTGAGAATTTTTTTTTCTGGTTTAACAATAACTTTATTTTTCAACAAAGATATGCAACGTCAATGAACAATATAATCGCCATTGTTTTACATAAGTATGGACGTTTGGTTCTACACCAGTTATCCAAAGACAACTTGGTTCACCGAGCATCGATTTGTGCTTCATTGCTTTTCAGACAAAAGCATGAGCCCTTTTTGGATCGAATTGTCACTGGAGATGAAAAATGGGTGTGTTATCTCAACGTGCGTCGCAGAAGGCGGTGGCTTGATCCTGACCAAAAGCCATTTCCGAATGTAAAACCAGACATGCATCCAAAGAAGATGATGTTGTGCATCTGGTGGGATATGAAAGGTGTCATCTGTTTCGAGCTGTTAGATATCAATCAAACGATTACCGTCAATGTCTACTCTCAACAATTGCAGCGATTAAATGAAGTTCTATCTCAAAAGCGACCGGCTTTGGCGAATCAAACAGCCGTCATCCTTCTCCATG